TCAATCCATTGTACTGGTATGTGGAAAATATTTATTTACTTCTCAATTATTTGTTTTCAGTTCCATTTTAAGCTTATGAAATTTTCATAGAACAGGCACAGGTAGATAAACTATAGCTATGGATTTTATTCAAGACGTGGGATTTTGGCAGTTAATTATTTAAAAGATTATGAAGGGAGCATATACTATACTAGGTTTTTTTACACTGGGATTTAAGCCTGAGTACCATGTTACAAGATGTGAAGAAGAAAGGGTCAACTCAGTTCATCATTCTCTCTTAGCACTGCTGCAGGATCATTTTGCTGTTCAAGACCTAAAAATAAAATGGTACATTGTTGAGTTTAAAGTGTTGTCTTACTATGCTGGTAGAGTCTACTTCTTGAAACGGACCTGTCGTTTCCGAGGAGAGCAGTCACAGCATCCATGTGTGGACCTTGACTGACCGCATCTGTATCACTTAAAATATTATTCCATATTTTAAAATTGGACCACAAAGAAAGTCTGGGCAAGTGAAGACTAGTGAGATCTTGGCTTAAACTCTGGCCCCACTGCTGCTCATCTCTAACGCAACAGAGAAGGCCCTGTGTACTCTGTATTTTCTCATGATATCCAAAGGCCTTGGTCAGTTCAGAGACATGCGGAGATACAAATCACAGAAACCCAGACTCGTTTGGCAACAAAATTTGTGTCTTTTTAAATTTAATTTTTTTAAATAGTTTTGGTGTTGTGAAAGTACACACAATTACTCTCTTACCCATTTTTAAGTGTACAGTTCAATGTTATTAAACATATTCACACTGCTGTGCATCCATCTATGCCTGGAACCCTTTTCATGTTATAAAACTGAAACTATTCCCATTAAAGAATAGCCCCATCTCCCCTCCCTGCTAGGCCCTGGTAACCACCATTATACTTTCTGCTTTTATGACTTTAATTACTCATATAAATAGAATCATATATTACTTGTCTTTTTGTGACTGGATTATTTCTCTTAGCATAATGTGTTCAAGGTTCATCAATGTTGTAGCAGATTGCACAATTTTCTTCCTCTTATGCTAAGTGCTAAGTCATTTCAGTCATATCTGACTCTGCAACCCTATGCACTGCAGCCTGCCAGGCTCCTCTCTCTGTCCATGGGATTCTCCAGGCAAGAATGCTGGAGTGGGTTGCCGTGCCCTCCTCCAGGGGATCTTCCGGAACCAGGGATTGAACCTGTGTCTCTTCTGTCTCCTGCATTGGCAGGCGGGTTCTTTACCACTAGTGACACTTGGGAAGCCCAAGGTACAGAGATATCTTTTTGTTTTTGGAGTGCCCAGGCCTAATATAGTTCATTTTTTATCTGGACATAGTTATCTATTTCCAGGATGTGTAATGTGTCCCATGTATTTAACTTGTTGCTTTGAGATTTTGTGTCTTTTTCTGGGAGACCCAATAATCCTGTGTCCCAAGGAAATTAAGAATTTCAATGGTGTTCTGATCTGAGGCCTCCATGGAGGGACTACACATTCGCATGTCTACATACTGTAGAATAGCCCTTTCTTTTAGGCGTATTTCCCTTAGTTCCTTTCCCAGGGCCTGGGCAAACAAGTGTGGGCTGTCCCCAAACCCTTAAGGTAACACTGTCCAGGTGTACTGCTGCATCTGGCCCAAGCAGGAGTTAGTCCATTCAAAGGCCAACAGATGTTATTCTTCCCCTTTAAGGTTGAGGAATATTCCATCGTATATATACACATCCATATATACTACATTTTACTTCATCCATCCCTGGATACTTGGGTTGCTTCCATATTTGGGCTATTATGAATAATGCTGCTATGACCATGGGTGTACAAAAACCTCTTCAAGACTCTGCTTTCAATTCTTTTGGGTATATACCTGGACACCGATTTATTTTCAGCTCCTAATAGGCTGAGTAACATAAATAGCCATACTGTTAAACAGACTGCTCATTTCAGATGGGCAAGTTCATTTTTCCTTCATTGAAAAAATATTTATTGAGAGCTTTCTTTGTATCAGGCAAGGGCTAGATTCTTGATCATAGGATCAATGATAGCAAAAATAACTTGGAAATAAATGATGACAGAGCATTTTCTTTGATTTGGAAAAAAAACTCCACCAAATAGAATATTGATTAACATTCATCTCTATGATAAAAGTGAAGATGAGTAGGGAATTCACAGAGTTCTTTCTTACCTCCATTTTTATTTCTGTTCTTCTGTAAAGATTCAGATGTCTTCTGATTAAGATGACTTGCTTCTCCATTATTCCATAAGGAAGTTCCAATAATAAGTAGGGTTACATTTAAAGAATGGCATTTAAAAGTTTTTTAATACAAGTGCTGAATCTATGGAGTAATGGCCAAGAGATGGTTCAAAACCTCTTTTGTCACACTCACAAAGAATTTTGGGGTGGCAGGGTGGGGTGGGGGGAAGGAAGGAGTAACATGGGTATAAGAATTCCAGATCAATTCATCCATAGTTTAGTGACCAAAAATGTCCAGTGTCTCGCTTCATTTCTAGCTTTTGTTACTATCTTAGCTGCTCACTTAAAGACTTTCACTTGATATCTAAACAAAAGGGAAGTTTGGCAAGGGGTTTAACCATATGCAAATGAATTGTATCATTTCATTCCAAAACAATGTCCTCTATAACAATACACTCAGGAAAACCAAACAGGATTAGGGAACACACAGCGGTCCCCATGGTTGTGCAAGCCTTATTGGCAGATGTAACTCATTCTCAGAAGTATTGAAAGTTTCTGTCAGCTACCATTGCATGTTTCATTCAAGCATGGTGGTGATATAAGACAGTGGAAAAAAATGGCTTACTTCTCTGATTCTCCACCAAAAGGAAGCAACGATCAGAGAAAGCCAGAGGGTAACCAGGAACCTAAGACTTTGCCTCCATTTTTAATAAGATGGAGAGGGAAAGGCCATTTGGGTCTTTGACATGAGGGACTCTTCCCAGGGTTGGAAGTGCAACAGTTTCCAGCCTCCTTGAGCAGCTATCAGGAAGATGGAAGTGGATGGCTGAGAGATCCTGTGGCTCCAGGGGCCTTTCATACTTCAAGTCTCCATTTAGCTGTGATCTCACCTATGAAGTCTTCCTTAATTTTCTAACTTACATTAACTTCCTTAATTTTCTAACTTTCTTCTTTGCAACCATGTCTTCACCCTGTCACTAAATATTATTATCTTTTATGTCATACATATGTCTAGGCTTCATAACTAAACCTCCTGAAGGCAGGATCCCCATTGGAGTCGCCATGTATACCCAATCACCCTTACTCTGTCCAGCAAAAACTAGGTAGTTAGAAAAATGTTAATGAGTAAGTGCATAAATCTGACTGAAGAAGACCTGAGATTCCTCGAGTAAGCAGATAGTAGGTTACTAAGTGCAGAGCATTTGATGCTTCTTGTGGTCTTAGCAGACAGGGAGGTCAGGGAAATCCAGGGACAAAGTTGGGGTCTACTGGCCAAGGCCGTTCAAGCACGGACACAAGGAGCACACTGAAGCTGGGGTGTCGCTTCTCAAATAATTACACATGCAACCATTTGTTCCACATTTCATTAAGATGGGCCACCATGCCAAAATGCTCCCTTGGCATAAATAGTACATTTTTTCTATCAAGAGCTTTCTTTTGTGTTACTTTACTGAAAAATCAAAGTAGGCAGGCCTGCAATTAGTATCCTCATTTCACCCGCTGGGATGCTGAAGAGAAGTAGGTGAATGACTCAAAGTGCTCTCTTCTCATATCCTTGGATATTTGCTTCCTCCTAACTAGGGAGGCATATTAAAAAGCAGAGACATTACTTTGCCAACAAAGGTCCGTCTGGTCAAGGCTATGGTTTTTCCAGTAGTCATGTATGGAGGTGAGAGTTGGACTGTGAAGAAAGCTGAGCGCTAAAGAATTGATGTTTTTGAACGGTGGTGTTGGAGAAGACTCTTGAGAGTCCCTTGGACTGCAAGGAGATCAAACCAGTCCATCCNTGGGTGTTCATTGGAAGGACTGATGCTGAAGCTGAAACTCCAATACTTTGGCCACCTCATGTGAAGAGTTGACTCGTTGGAAAAGACCCTGATGCTGAGAGGGATTGGGGGCAGGAGGAGAAGGGGACGACAGAGGATGAGATGGCTGGATGGCATCACCAACTTGATGGACATGAGTTTGAGTAAACTCCGGGAGTTGGCAATGAACAGGGAGGCCTGGCGTGGTGCGATTCATGGGGTCGCAGAGTCGGACACGACTGAGCGACTGAACTGAACTGAATAATGAAATATAAAATTATTCAGTAACTGTGGTCCCTTTTTAAAGTCACTAAACATTGTGTATGTTAAAAATCACACAAACCTGGGTTCATACTGGACACTTTACTTATAACTAAGGAAAAATATCCACTAGTATATATTGAGAATATGGAAACATGTTTGTATGGAAAGCAGTCTGTTTCCAACTCTTTTGCAATTGATTTTAAGTTATTTAGAGTTTTCATTTTTAACAGGGATTATAATTTTAGCAGTTGCAGAAATATAAAAAGATGGCATCAAAATGTCCTATATATTGGTAATCTGAGCCCAAGAACTTTTCATGCTTAGCTTGTGTTCTGAGCCACAGTCTTCACAGATATAAAATTGAGCAGAATAGAAAAGGGAAATATTCATGTCAGCTGTTGAAAACTAGTTTGTAAGACAGGCCTAAAAGCCTTTATCTCTGGCATGTTCAGTATGGAATGCATAGCTGATTTTCATTCAGCCACCAGAGAAAGGCATTCTACAATGACAGATAGCCTTATCAAAATTACAATTAGCTGGCTTCTTATGAAATATACAGCAGTTGGTTAAGTAAGGCTGAAGTGAGAGCTCTTACCAGTTTTGTCAGAAATGATTCTCCATGATGAATATTTGGCCAACTGGTTAGGTCTAGCGTGAATGGGTAATTTTCAAAAGAAGGAGCTGAGAACTGCTAACATGTTCCAAAAAAGCACCTATTAAAAACTGATCTCAAAGCAAATAAACCATCAATTTATTTAATTTTCAAGTAGATTTTTCACCAAATGTATTATTCCTCTAAGATTAGCATGGCTCATTCTGCTTAGATTGTTTACAGTGCTTGTTATTGTGCTTAAAATTTTGCAGTAAGGTGAAATAACACATTCCAAATGGTTTTTAAATACATGGAAGATGAAATCTCATACTTACAGCATATAGTTTGATTCTTTTTATTCATGACTAATCAAAATTGTGTCTTTAAACAGTAACCTGATATTTTTCAAATTGTACTCAGAAACACAATTGTGTACCATTTATTTTAATACTAATACTTCTAGGATTAGCTTTATTAACAGTATGACATTTTCATGCATTCTTAAACTTCATACTAGTTTCAATATTCACAATGTTTGATTAAGTTCAAATCAACAACTAGTAGAGCCTACAAGAGAAAAGAATGAAACGAGATTACCCTTTTTATATAATCAGCTAAATTATTTTTAAGAGTAAAAAGTTAATACTAGGACTTAAAAACCTAAATTTCCAATGTTACTGTTAATTCAACCACATGAATATTACTTTAGGCCACAGGACTGCCCATTAGCCTTTCTTGTCGGAGAGCGATTAATCTCTTGAACCATTTTTCCTCAGCATCAGCTTTCTCAATAAATAACTGAAATGAAAGAAAAAAAAAAAGACAGAAGAAAAATGTCATTGCTTGCCAAATAACTTGGATTTGATCTTACAAATCATCTTTATACAATACATCCTTCAGCACAAGATTTAGATACTACTTAATTCTTGATGACTTCTTAACTGAAGATCATCTATTTGGAATAACCCTTGGAAAGTGAGAAAAAGGACTAATATAAAAATCATTAGCAATTTTACATTTCATTTTGTAAAGTTTATTTCCTACAAACTTTCTGAGAGACAGAGTGGTATGACCCTAATTCACAGAAGACAGCACAGTATGACATTAATGACACACCCACAGTCAATGAACCAACTGGGGCAGAGCCAGAATTAGATCTTTTAGTGCCAGATGAAAAAACAAAACAAAACTCTTCTTTTTTGTCAATTTTTCTTAACCACATAAAGAATCTTCTAGAAATCAGGTAACACAGGGTGGCCCAAACCAGATTCAAATACTGGTAACAGCTCTAAGGGCTGGGGGTGAGCTGTCTTATTTTTGGCAAGTATGAACATATGAATCCATTTCCTCCAATGGTCTTCCTGTCACCAGCCCAAAAGAACAGCAGTCTGAATTAACTTCAGTGAACTAGACTTAAGCTGACATTCTTAAGGCTTAAGGGTCTTACATTTGGATGAGCCAGAGAATTGTCATCTTGGTACTTGATGGCAGTAGGGATGCTGCCTGGGTCTATTTCCTTCTCATTACTCGGCGGATATAGTCACTGCTCCCCATTTCTCCCCAACTCTGACATCCCTAGGCAACCACTCATTTACTTTCTGTCTTTATGGATTTGTCTATTCTGCACATTTTATATAAAAAGAATCATATAATATGTGTTTTTTTTGTGTGTGTGTGACTGGCTTCTTTCATTCAACATGAATATCAGTATTTCATTCCTGTTTGTGGTTGAATCCTATTCCACTGTGTAAAATATTATAGGCCAGGTATTGTGCTCAGTACCAGGGACAAAAGACTAATAAATCATTGTGCCTGCTTGGAAAGAACCAAGAGTGTAGTGCTACTCAGGTTAATTTCAACATCTCCTTCCTTGAGGGAAGAGGTCAGGGAAGTGCCTAATTAACAGCAAGGCTGTAGGGATAATATGAAATGAATGATGAGATAAACTAGACAAGAATTTGGAATTTAAAAAGTTAAAATTAAAAAAGTCTAGATGATTGACTAGCCTTTTTTTTTTTTTTCTACACCCATTGTTCTAAATCTATAGCTTTTCAATTTCCATGTTTTGTTGACTTTCCTACTTTTGAACATCTACTTTTCTGAATGAAGTGCAAAACAGATGTCACTGGGGAAAACATCTAGAAAACGAAATATGCATGAATTAGTTAATCCTTTATTAGAATGATTTATCTCAGAGTTGGAGATTTGTCTGTTTAACTAGTACTTACTAAGCACTACTAATTGCTTAGCACTGGCCACACCAGTGCTAGGGTGTACCCAGCACTAGGATGATAGGGGAGTGCTAGAAGAATAAGAAGACATGTTCCCTGTCCAAACTGAACATGACATTTTGTTGATGGGGTGACAGATCTCTTAACAAAAAAATACCAAAATATATATATAAACACAAATTGTAACAAGTTACAATAGAGATGTTTAAAGAAATATTCGGTAAATTTGATTTGGAAGTTTTTTTCTGTTATTTTGCAGCCAATATATTTTTCCCTCGACCTCAAACTTTACTACATCTCCAAAATACTGGTCATAGAAGACTCATAGCCCTAAGTGATATTACACTGACTTTTTTATAAAACTGAAGACATGTAACAGGAAAACCCCATATTCTTCACAGAGGGAAGTGGGGAAGTATACTAGCCCAGTGAGGTCCAAGACACAATTTTTTAAAATTACGTGTTGCCATAGAGGGAATAAAAGAGTACGCATACATGCGTGCCAAATCACTTCAGTCATGTCTGACTCTGCGATTCCACGGGCTATAGCCCGCCAGGCTCCTCTGTCCATGGAATTCTCCAGGCAAAAATACTGAAGTGGGCATACAGTTCTGCATAACTAGGCCAGGCTATGACAGGGCTCAGCTAGGAGACTGGTTGTCCATATTGAACAACCTTGAAAAATTGTGAAGTGTTGTTATTCTAGTTGCCAAAGATGCGGACTGCACATATTTAGGTGGTAGAGATAACATTCTATTATAAAAATCAAGTAATCTGATTTTGTTTTTACCTACACAGTACATCAGTTTTCTTCGAAAAGTGCTTAAATACACATAAGGTATATAAAGAAAACATAAAGTTCTCAGTGGTTAGGATCAGAACATAAAAGTTATTATTTAATAATTATTAGTTTAAAAATGCATGAGGAAAGTGATTAATTGCTTCTTTAAGTGAGGAAAGCTGTTTTGGAGAAAATTTGACCTTTAAAAAAACCCTCAATGTGGCTACCATCAAACATCTGGCTCTAAGTAGCACTGCCACCTGGTGGTTCAGTATGGAACAATTTGTTTTAATATGCACTTTATAAGTAAAAGAACAAATGACCATGCTGCTCAGTTAGGTACCCTTTTTGAACACTGGTGGATACTGGCCAAATACAACAATGTTAGGACTGAATAACTGATGATAAGCTTATCTGTGAGAGTAGTTTGAAAACAAGCTGCATCTTGATTCCTCAAGTTGATGATATATCAGGAACTATCAGATTATCTATCTACTCACATTAGAGAAATAGGATGGTAGAGAGTTAAAACTAGTTAAATCAATGTGTTGCAGGAGACACACCATCTAGCATGTCACTGGTGATAGCCACTTTTCTGGTAACATCTCCCTAGCTAAATCAGTGGAATTTATACAGCTGAAGACTCTACCAATGGAAGGGGTCATTAGGTTATACAAAAGCCTTCTTTAGAGACACAAATTTTATACCAATGTGTGTAGAATTGTCCAGGATGTTGAAACTTGGGTCATAATTTAATTTTCAAGAAAAGGATAGCCCATAAGATCTCCCCATGACCTGGGTAAAATGGTCCTGTAGATAATTTACCTCCCTTTGCTAAGTCATNGTCCTCTAGATAATTTACCTCCCTTTGCTAAGTCATCTCCTGATAAATAATTCATCTTCTTGGACATCCTGAATCTTTACCTCATATTGCAGACATAGACATTTTAGAAAATGGAAGGGATATCACTTTCTAAACTAATAAACTGGCCCACTGTTTTATATTACAGTCCAGTGCGAATTTATGCTTTGCTGGCCCATCACTGCTCTTCTGGTGATTTTGATATGTGACGACTAATTCAAGTCCAGGGTTGGATAGCTAATATTTTATTAGCTTACTGTACATTTACCAAGGTAAATGCCATCTTCTGAGATTTTTTAGCATATTCCCCTGTTAGGGTCACTTCAAGGCATGCTTTCTTTATACCTTAACAAGGAATATGCATTGAGTTACAATTATGAGAGACATTTAATCAGTAGGGAAAAAATGGGTTGTGGTGTTGGACAAATTTGGTTTGGATGCTGCTTTCAATCATTTGTTAGATTTAACCATGCATTATAAAATGTTGAACCTCAGTTATAAATGTTACTAGGATACTAGTTAAATTACAAAAGTTAAATGTCTAGTATAATGGCAGCCATTATAATGGCAATCATTATTTTAGTTAAGTTATTTAAATATATATTAAAAAGTGGGGCTAGGATACAACATTTGTTTTATACCACTTGCTTAGTGCTTTAACATTTCCAAATGGCTGTGTCAAAATAAACTGGTTCAAAGTTGATGTCTATACATGAAACCAGTAAATTACTGTGTAAAGTAATTTTAAAACTCTTTGCTTGGTAATACAGTAGATCACCAAGCCTCAAGTAAGGAGAATTTTAGGTCTAGAGAACATAAAAAATTACATAAAACAATCTCTGGCAGAACTAAAACGGAAATTTTTGTGTCTAAAATCACTCTGAAGGAAGTCGCACACACATCCAACGCTTGTTCTTCAGTGAGAGGAGAAGGTGGATTAGCAGAAGGAAGATGAGGCGTGGCAACAGCTTTCATTTCTTGAATACTTATTTATGCCAGGCATGTGGCTAACTGTTTTATGTAAATATCTTGTTCATTCTCATAAAAACCTCTGCTACAGGTATTATCCCATTTTAAGAGAAGAGAGTCGAGGTGTAATGAAACTTTTACATAGCTGAAGGATACAGTCAGCAAATGGCAGAATCAGAATGTGGTTCCAGGTCTGATTCTTCATCTCATGCTTTTGACCACTGCTTCCTAATTGCTAAATGCAAGATTTATTGTAATTTGGTTTTAATTTTAGAGGAAATAAATAAAATTAGTGGTAAAATATTTAAACTAAACATATTTCTAAGTGGCTCAACTCACAGTGCTGGATTAATATTTTGAGGCTGCTTCTGCTTCTCTGTCATTCTTATCTAACCAAAAGCTAGCCTGTTCTAATTTTATATCTTTCTATGAATTTTTGTTAAGGGGAACTTCTTTTTAAAAGATAGTTGAGACAGAAGGTGGGTTTCCCTCACACAGATTTATTAAGGTTGCTTACAAAATGAAGAGACCCCCTAGGGGTTCCATCCTTGTCCTCTTGATCCTTACCTGTGGCATCTGAATTGGAAGTATAAGAAAAGACATATTGAAACTGAGTAAATTCCAACTCAGCACTAAAAACTAAAGCAAACAAAAGCTAATTATTAAAATAATTAATAACGGTGGTCCCTTTGATGAGAGAGGTGGGTGACATTCCTTTATTTTGCTTTCATAGGAAGCCCATTTAACTACACAAAGAGTTTGTTACAATTTGGGAAGAACAGTTTTTCTCTTGGATTTAATCAGTTATCTTAAGATTAATAACCATAAGAAATAATATTTTAAAACTTTTCTCAGGAATATAACAAGGTAGAAAAATTACTAATCCTGAAATTAAAATATATAGATATTATTACATTTATACATTTCAGAAGTCTTTTAAGAAATTCTAAATAAATTTTTGTTTTTATTAGCAAGGACTCTGATTTTTGCGCAAGTAGACTCAGGGAAAGTAAGAGGCATATCAGGGAAACATAAATGAAGTAAGGTTTATACTTCAGACAGATTGAATACCTACAGTAGAAGTTTTCAAGTTTTGTATACACTATACATACTTAGTGTATAAAACATACTTAGATATCAAATAATTTAGATGCTAGTCTGTATTTAAAAAATAAACATTTAATGGATTAAGAAACATGTTAGATATTTGATAATCATTATATTTAATCCTCAATCACTCTAGAAAGTAGATATTATTAGTTTAATGTTATGAATTTGGAAACAGAGGCTTAGAAAGAGGTTGAGGTTTGCTCTAGATCATAAATCACTGTAGGAAGTGTAAAAGTTAAGTTCCAAGTCAGATCTTGAGTCCAAAGTTCATGCCCTTTCCACTATATTAAACAGGATTTGGATCAATTTCCTCAATCACTGTCAATTTTACTAGTTACTGGAAGAACTGCTGTTATCTTGGAAGAGAGGAACAGAACTGCAAATAAATTAATTATATTAATAATTAATACCAAATAGGAAAAAGTTATTTAGAAGAAAACTCAGTGTATTAACCATAGAGGAGTAAGTATTCCCACAGAAAGAAAATACTAGTTTATCTTAAGTATGTCCAGTGAGAACTGAGAAGTCAAGGTGAACTCTAGAAAACAAATACTACTGAAGTCAACTTCAAAATAAATTACAATTCTACTAGGACAAGTGAATGACCTCACAACATGTACAAGTAAGATATTAAATAAAATGGGCAACTATATTTATGAATGTGTATTTCACAGCTCCTTTTTCTTCAGAGATTGTGGTGGCAAACTAAAAATATTCAAATGAAATCAGCAAAATAACAGGGCAGGGGCATGGACTAACCAAGGTTGTCTAGTGCATCCTGGCATCTTGCACATGCTCAGTTCATGTCTCCAGAATGAATCATTTAAAAATATATATGGTAACTGAAAAGCCATCCATCTCACTAACAACAAAAGAAATGCTAACAGAACAACAAAAGGTCAATTTTTACCTATGAGGTCAGTAAACATGAAAAAGTCTGACAAGGTCTTAAAAAGTTAGGTGTTAACCAGGGTGTGAGAGGCACACTCCTCCCTGTACTTCGGGGTGGAATTTGAACTGATACAGTTTTTTGGGAGAATGACTTTGGGAACAGGTATGAAAATAAATAGTATTAACCTTTAACAGATAACTCCATCTTGAAAAATTTATCCTCAGGTGATAATAACGGATATTCACAAACATATATATTATACCTTCAAACTTACAACTACTTAAATATCTACTTATCAGAGGAAACAAAATGAATGAATTATGATATTGGGTTGGCCAAAAAGTTCATTCGGGTTTCCTGTATCATCTTACAGACGAATCTGAATGAATTTTTTTGCCAATCCAATACATTCATTAGTAGAATGCCATACACATAGTCATTAATATATCTACAGATACAGAATATTTTTGAATAAATAGCAACTATACCACATCTTCATTATATGTGTGATATTAAAGAATACATGTATTTCACAGCCTTTTCTTCCTAAAGAAACACAAATTCCAAAAAATAATCCTGATAATGATTGAAAGAATAAATCAAATACTCAACAGAAATATAATGTCAACGAAAGCTCCTTTTATTAGAGTTGAGTAAGTGATACCCATATATAGACAAAGAGTGTAGACAGATATACATTACTATTTGGGCAATAATTTTATTGTTAAACTTCTTTTCTAACTTTTCTCTAGCAATGTCAATTCAAAAAGCAGATGTACCCATTTGAAAAGAAAACGGGGTATGTTCACAAAATGCACATTTCTGCTATAGAACTGTCATGTTAACATTTTACTTTGTCTTCTTGGTGAATTTTAACCACAGAAAGAAAATACTAGTTTATCTTAAGTATGTCCAGTGAGAACTGAGAAGTCAAGGTGAACTCTAGAAAACAAATACTACTGAAGTCAACTTCAAAATAAATTACAATTCTACTAGGACAAGTGAATGACCTCACAACATGTACAAGTAAGATATTAAATAAAATGGGCAACTATATTTATGAATGTGTATTTCACAGCTCCTTTTTCTTCAGCGATTGTGGTGGCAAACTAAAAATATTCAAATGAAATCAGCAAAATAACAGGGCAGGGGCATGGACTAACCAAGGTTGTCTAGTGCATCCTGGCATCTTGCACATGCTCAGTTCATGTCTCCAGAATGAATCATTTAAAAATATATATGGTAACTGAAAAGCCATCCATCTCACTAACAACAAAAGAAATGCTAACAGAACAACAAAAGGTCAATTTTTACCTATGAGGTCAGTAAACATGAAAAAGTCTGACAAGGTCTTAAAAAGTTAGGTGTTAACCAGGGTGTGAGAGGCACACTTCTCCCTGTACTTCGGGGTGGAATTTGAACTGATACAGTATTTTGGGAGAATGAGTTTGGGAACAGGTATGAAAATAAATAGTATTAACCTTTAACAGATAACTCCATCTTGAAAAATTTATCCTCAGGTGATAATAATGGATATTCACAAACATATATATTATACCTTCAAACTTACAACTACTTAAATATCTACTTATCAGAGGAAACAAAATGAATGAATTATGATATTGGGTTGGCCAAAAAGTTCATTTGGGTTTCCTGTATCATCTTACAGATGAATCTGAATGAATTTTTTTGCCAATCCAATACATTCATTAGTAGAATGCCATACACACAGTCATTAATATATCTACAGATACAGAATATTTTTGAATAAATAGTAACTATACCACATCTTCATTATATGTGTGATATTAAAGAATACATGTATTTTACAGCCTTTTCTTCCTAAAGAAACACAAATTCCAAAAAATAATCCTGATAATGATTGAAAGAATAAATCAAATACTCAACAGAAATACAATGTCAACGAAAGCTCCTTTTATTAGAGTTGAGTAAGTGATACCCATATATAGACAAAGAGTGTAGATAGATATACATTACTATTTGGGCAATAATTTTATTGTTAAAGTTCTTTTCTAACTTTTCTCTAGCAATGTCAATTCAAAAAGCAGATGTACCCATTTGAAAAGAAAACGGGGTATGTTCACAAAATGCACATTTCTGCTATAGAACTGTCATGTTAACATTTTACTTTGTCTTCTTGGTGAATTTTAAAATAAAAATACCATCAGAAACATTTTTACAGGTTTTTTTTTTTTAACAGTTTAAACAAACTGATTCTCACTGATTCATTTTTTCTCTCAATAACACGCTGACACTCTCTTGCCCTACTTCATCTACTGGAAGAACTTATATTTAAGTAAAATCCATTAATAAAGCATCTCTTTAGTTGGAATGTAAAGGCTTATTCATAACGCCTGGATGAAAACTTACCTTTTTGATTTCTTTACTTGATCTGAATGTTTGCTGAACAAAAGAATCACTTTCAATGGCTTCAATTTCTTTGACTCTTTTTACTTGTTCTACCAGGGTGGTTTGGTCTAAAAGAGAGCATATAATGTCAATGTATTTTGATGTGTAAGCTTGTTAGCAGCACTATACCTAAACAATGTTCCTTCTATGAAGTAATATTATGACTTACGAAATTTAACTGGATTAAAAAAAAAGACATTATGGTTAAGTTATAATAGAAACATTTTACCCCTATAGATCCACAAATAGAACTTTCCTTCTCCAAGGGATCTTCCTGACACAGGGATCGAACCTGGGTCTCATGCACTGCAGGCAGATTCTTTACTGACTGAGCTACCAGGGAAGCCTCTGGTATAATGATCTATAATTATATTTACATTAATTATATGCTAGTTTTAATTAATTATATATTAATTTTCTTATTCTTATTTAATCTATCAATGGGTTTCCCTTCCATGGGGCTGTAAAGTCAGACACGACTGACTGGCTGAACGACAACACGGCATCATGCTGCTGCTGCTGCTGAGTCGCTTCAGTCGTGTCCGACTCTGTGCGACTCCATAGACGGCAGCCCTCCAGGCTCCTCCGTCCCTGGGGTTCTCCAGGCAAGAACACTGGAGTGGGTTGCCATTTCCTTCTCCAACGCATGCATGCGTGCTAAGTCACTTCAGTCGTGTCCAACTCTATGCGACCCTATGGACAGCAGCCCACCAGGCTCCTATGTCCACAGGATTCTCTAGGCAAGAATGCTGGAATGGGTTGCCATTTCCTTCTCCAGATATGGCATTATGTGTGGGATTTAATTTTAAATACTTCAGGTCCACCCCACCAAAAATTGAATCAGGCATTGATATATTCGTGGTTTAGTTGCTACATCATGTCCAACTCTTGTGACACCGTGGACTGCAGTATGCCAGGCTCCTCCAGCACGCCAGGCTTCCCTGTCCTTCACTACCTCCTGGAGTTTGCTGAAACTCATGTTCATTGAGTTGGTGATGCCATTCAACCATCTCATCCTCTGAACCCCACTTCTCTTACCCTCAATCTTTCTCAACATCAGGGTCTTTTCCAATGAGTTAGTTCTTGCCATGTTACCCCTAAATATTTTAGCAGGTATCTCAGATAAGGGCTTAAGGAAAAAAACTAGCAACATAACTACAATACTACCTTTAAATCCAACATTATTAGGAACAATTCCTTAATATCACCTTGTACAGTCCATGTTTAATTTCCATGATTGCCCAAGAAAAGTGTTTTTTTTTTTTTTTTACAGTTGGTTTGTCTGAAACAGGATCTAAACAAAGTCCACATATTACACTTAGTCAACAAGTATCTAAAATTCCTTTTAATCACTTACAGTCCACCAACCCTTCCTTTCATTGTCACTTATTTTTTGGAGAAAATGGATCATTTAGCCTCTAAAATTTTCTATATTCTGGATTTTCCTGATTTTATTATCATGGTATCATTTCACATACTCTTCTATCCTTCATATTTTCTGTAAGCCAGCAGTTAGATCTAGGCAGGCTTAAGTATTAGGTTCAATTTCTGGTCAAGCATACATCACAGGTAGTGCTGTGTAATTCCAAATACATCAGATGAGGATGTGCTTCTTCCACTTTTAATGATGTTAAGGTTGATCAGTGTGTTCAAGACGATGTCAGTCCTACCCTATTATTAAGTTCTCCACTAAACTTTCACTTAACGGTTTTAGCAGACATTAACGACTGTTGCTGAAATCCATTATTTTATTAGGCACTGCAAAATGGTGATTTTTCTTCTAAATCTATTATTTGTACCATATTTATTAACTCTGATCTAAAGAACTTCCCTCATTGATTATTTTATCACTGAAATATAGTCTGTACAGAAAAAAGCAGAGTGTTTAATTCTTTCCCTTTACTGATCAATTCTGGTCCAAAGGTGACCATTACGAGCTCATGAATAATTATATATTTAATGCATTTCAGTCTGTGGGCACTGTCTTCACATTTTGATTCTACCTTTGCCAAGCGGGAGCCTCTTGGATATGAAGAGTGGGAGAGTGGGAACACTCTTCTGATATGACCTCTTTTGTTGAGACTGGTAAGAGGTCCCAGATAATCACGATGGTGTGATCACTCAACTAGAGCCAGAAATCCTGGAGTGTGAAGTCAAGTGGGCCTTGGGAAGCATCACTACCAATAAAGCTACTGGAGGTGATGGAATTCCAGTTGAGCTATTTTAAATCCTAAAAGATGATGCTATGAAAGTGTTGCACTCAACATGCCAGCAAATTTGGAAAACTAAGCAGTGGCCACAGGAATGAAAAGGTCAGTTTTCATTCCAATCCCAAAGAAAGGCAATCCCAAAGAATGCTCCAACTACTGCACAGTGGCACTCATCTCACACGCTAGTAAAGTAATGCTCAAAATTCTCCAAGCCAGGCTTCAACTTAACTTTCAGATGTTCAAGCTGGTTTTAGAAAAGGCAGAGGAACCAGAGATCAAATTGCCAACATCCGTTGGATCATCAAAAAAGCAAGCGAGTTCCAGAAAAACATCTAGTTCTGCTTTATTTCTGCTCTATTTCTACTTTCTATGTCAAAGCCGTTGACTGTGTGGATCACAACAAACTGTGGAAAATTCTTAGAGGGATGGGAATACCAGACCACCTGACCTGCCTCTTGAGGAATCTGTATGCAGGTCAGGAAGCAACACTTAGAACTGGGCATGGAACAACAGACTNAAGCTGAAACTCCAATACTTTGGCCACCTGATGCGAAGAACTGACTCATTTGAAAAGACCCTGATGCTGGGAAAGATTGAAGGCGGAAGGAGAAGGGCATGACAGAGAATGAGATGGTTGGATGGCATCACTGACTCAATGGATATGAGTTTGAGTAAGCTCTGAGAGTTGGTGATGGACAGGGAGGCCTGGCGTGCTGCAGTCCATGGGGTCGTAAAGAGTCAGACATGACTGAGCAACTGAACTGAAGAGGTCCCAGGTTCATCCTGTACAGTTCCTGTCTTAGACTTGCAATCAGCCATTTCCCCAAAAGGCTTGGACTCCTTTTAGTGGGAAATGATATTTATTTAAAGACAATAACCTGAGCAGAAGGGGTGTCCATTTTTCCTGGATTGACATTGCTTCTCATATTTTTCAGTGGGTGGGATAGGTAATACTTATTTTTAGAAGAGAAAAACAAATATAAGTTCATGCTGATGTTACCTTGTTGAGTCTTTTATATTTGTATATCATTCCTCTTATTCTAAGAATATTACTTAGGCTTTAAAGATATGATCAAGAGCACTTACTTGTTCTTTCTGAGTTGCATTTGTATTAGTTTCAAAATAATAAGATAAACACTACTATTAAGATGAATTATGCAGTTTAAAATTCATGGTTCTTTTTGATTTCAGGATTTGTTCCACTGATGAACTGCCAAAACACTATAAAGTCACTTGGAGAAATAATTCTCCATGTGATTATGCTACCAACTTGATATGTAACAGTTAGGTTCATTTGCTTCAGCTTTTTAAAAAGCTTTTAAATCTTTTGCTCTGTTGTTTTCATAACTAATATTTGTTTTTTGATTGCATAAAACATTCTTCTAAAGTCAAAATTAAAACATCATTCAGAAAAGTCTAGGTTTCCTTTCTTACCCCATTTCCCTAGTTCTTCCCCTAATCCACAGGCAACCACTTTTTATTAGGTTTTGATTTTTATCCTTCCATTGCTTATTTTTGAAAATATGAGCATACATATTCTCTTTTTTCTCACACAAAATTAGCATGCTATACATTTCTATGTATATTACTTCTCTAACTTAGCACTATGTCTTTTAGTATAGAGACTTGCTCATTCTATGTTAGAGATATACAGTAACCTATTTTATGGTTGCAGGATAGTTTTTTTCCTACCAATACCTATTGATGGTCATTTGAGTTGTTCCAGTTCTTTGCCTTTATAATTAGTGCTTTAATAAATAGCCACAGGCATGTGTCATTTCATATTTTTGTATTTTTTTCACATGCCAGATGGGCAGGAAAAAATGCAACTTTATGGATCACACTCTCATGGTTAGTCTAAGCTGAAACGAATACACAGCTGAATTAGGAGCTACTGAACACTCAGCCAAGGTATCTAAAAATGCTGGAATTTTAGCCTTTATGAGTAACTGAATTTACTTAAAAAACAATTGTAATAACTGGTTTAACAAGGTAGAACTATTTGCATCAAAGCAATTTCTACATACTAAGCTGCAAAGGTTAAATGATACATAGAGAGTATAAAAGTAAATCTGGTTTAAATGCTAAAAAAATAATAATTAACATTTTATGAAAAATCTTTGGTTAAATTTTTGGCCAATCACAAATTACAAGTATGTAGTCTTGTGCAAGTTCCAGTTTATTTAAGAGAAAGACAGTGCTTCTGAGGATGTGTCCCTGACAGCTCTAACCAGTCTTTTCTTATATGAGAAATCCTGCATGGAATGTGTGGAAATAACAGCCATCAGAGACAACACTTCCATCTTTGGAAGAATATATTTTCCCACATAAAAGCAAACACTGTCAGAGTGTCATGGAAGAGCAAATAGTTCCACATGCTTTAGAATAAAAGCTACTGTGGACTTTAATTATGCAATGTACCAAGTGAGCATGTGAAACAAGAGAAGATTCTCTGCCCAGCTAACTTATGAATATTAATACACCCTGTACCAGAGAATAATATTTTACTATTCAAGTATATAACATCATTAATACAGCACAGAAAAATCATAAAAGATACCATTCCAGGTGATTCAACTTTAATTTTTCAATATGAAAACACATTTGTTTGCGTAGGTCTGAATTACTCTCACAATTATTCCATAATCATTAGTTACCAACCAAAAACACTATCTCTGACTTCAGGATGATGTCTCATAAGTATCAACTGTTTGACCCTTCGGATTTTCTTCTCTAACATATTCTCTCGTTTGGATTTACAAAGCACATCATTAGTATTAGAAGTCAGAGGTGAGCTCACAAACAGGACTTGATGTCTAAAGCTTCCAGTGTTTGTAGCTTTAAATATGGGCATACAA